CTGCAGAGCCTCCCTACCCTCAGGCAGATCAACACTTCTACCCAGCTTGGTGTCATCTGCAAACTTACTAAAGGTACAATCATCTCAGTAACTGAAAAAGCAAACTGTTATGACTAAGAGGTAACAGCACACCACAAGTTATTACAAGGATCATTAAATACCCAAGGTTTGAATACAGTGAGGGGAATGGAACTGCCCGTAGAACCAGCAAAGCTTCAGGAAAGGGCAACACAAATGATCCCAGGGTATCTACTAGTTTCCCTGTAAAGGAGTAACTGAATTGTCTAAACTGTACAGGCTGTTAAAGAGGTGACTGGGACAAGGGTGGGTAAGAAAAGGAACATGATAGAGATTGCTAAAAGCTGAGTGGTTTGGACACCAGCTGCAGCAGTTTAAGTAGAGCAAGTCTTCCAGTTTCTGCAGCTGCTGCAAGCCGGAGTGATGAAGGTTGCACTGCTGGTAGCAGTTCCTCTCCAGTTGTGCCTTCTAGGCCCACCAGCAGAGGTCAGGGAAGACAGCTGGTAACGGCAGCTCAAGATCACAGTCAAGTTTCAGAGTCTGAGCTTTGCTTTTGCATGCTATCCTAATGAATGCAGCAACTCCATCTACCCATAAAGCAGTTTCCAGAGGAACTAAAATAAGCTGATAGAATATTTATATGAACAGAATATAGAATATGCTATAGAATATTTGGGGTAATATTTCTTTTCCCCCAGAAACGGTACTACAGTGCAGCCTTATCACTTCATAAATGGCACTTCAAAGCAGGAGAGAAGCAGAAAAAAACTACAGACAAAAAATACCTTTAACAGAAGAGACTGGAATAGTTAAGAAAATAAATGAGTTTTACTTAAATAGCTTTCTGAGAAGACTCAGTATGGAAGAGTACTCACTGCATCTTAAGACCAGTTACTTTTACAGATACAGACCATGATTTTTCACAGATTGTTGTAAAGATTTGCAATAGCTAGAAATTAATTTGAATACTTTATTTAACCAATAAAGCCCAAAACACAGATGCCTGGTCTGTTTGTTTCAAGACTGCTTACCAGTCAATGCAAAAATGTTCCAGGACAGCTCCTCTTCCTCTCCTCCCCCCCACCCCACAAGGCAGAGGATTTCTGAGAAAAGGCTCATAACTTCAGGGAAAACAAACAGACCCCACTCTCCTCAGTTTTCAAACACCCATGGCATTCATCACAGCAGCCCAACTTAGCTCATGTTAGAAATCTTCTAAGTTACACAGTTTATGAAACATCTGAGGAATATTCTGTATCTGAAGTCAGAGGGAAACAGCTGAACTGCAAAAAATGCACAAGACAAGCTATAAATGACATAACTCAAATAGTGCACGTTTATTCTGAACGGTATTTCTAAAGAGTTTGAGAAAAACAAAAACATGCTCCTGATGTACAACAAGGGCAATGATACAGATTAAAAATGGACCATCTTATTGTAAAGAATTTGCTCCCCCTGCAACTTAACTGGTAACACTGAGAATGCATCTGTAAACTGCAAACAGCATACCTTTGACTAAACTTAACTCAAGAGACCAGGGGTGGTCTTAGCCAAATTAATCAGGAAGCAGTTGCAGATTCAAAAGAAACATCCAAGTCAGCAAACACTTTACAAAACACAGACTTTGTGCATAGCAGCTGACCCTGGATTACAACATGGGGGAGAGTAAAACAATTTGGAGGATCAAATTTTTACTAGACACAGGGCACCATCAAGAATTAACAAAATATCACATAAGTTTGTTTCGGTTGTAACAGTATGTCATATTTAGTTGGCAGGTTTAACCATTAGCTGCATCATGTAAACTCAGCCAGTTTCTGTATACACAAAATAAAATCTCTCCCTTCCCCCTCCCAAAAATGAGGGATACCTCTCCTGGATGATTCTTCTTCCCCTGTACCATGGTTTCCTCTAGTAGGAGTCTTTTTATAGGTAATATCTTCGGACTTCAACTGATGTATGACAAAACCAGTTGCAGAGATTCAGAAGTAACTCGCACATACACAATTTACCTCTAAAGTTGTTAGGTGCATACATTTTTCTTGCTAGATCTTCATCCAGAACACGAAGTGCTGGTGGGATTTTTTTTCCACTGAAACTCCCAACTTTGGAAAAAAATTCAGTTGTTCATAAGCTGCTATTTTCAAGCTAAATGGAGGTCCTGCTGCAGCAACAACCAAAGTAGCTGAAGTTCTCTGCAGTAAGCCCATACTTCACACAATTTCAGTGTCTCTGGGTAACAGCACTAAGATACAGCATTTTCCTCCCACACTCAACACAGCTGATATAATAAAGTACAACTGTTTGTCATTCATACAACTATTGACCTTCACTTGCCTTTATCCATGTACAGGGAAGCCAGCTTTCTATGAGATTTAGATTAAACCTTGTGTTCAAGATTCAACAACCGTTTTCCAGGATTAATAGCCTGGGAAAAGGAGTCTTACATTTGTGGTTACTCTCTCTTCCACCTCCCACAAAACATTTTATCAGAAGTTACAATGAGGCAGGTTTGCTGTGGAACAGGAGCTTTAAGATTTGTTTTCAGGGATACATTCATAGAATGATGGCAGCCCAAAGCAAAAAGAGACAGAAACAAAGGTTAATCCAAGTAAGTTCAGACATGAGACTCATACTTTTAAACCTGAAGGAGAACTGTCTGTGAAACACACCGATTTGTGGAAGCCTACGACAACAGCAAATCCTAAGAGTTCATATCCCCACACCCATCTACCCAACCCAAACACTTACCACTTAATTCTAGAAGAATGAAGAGCACTTTGCTTGGCACCAGAGGCAGCTATGGTCTGAGTTACAGCTGTGCTGCACAAACATCCTCAAATACAATACTATCTCACTCCCTCCACATACTTCTCTTGGTTTGGTCTACAGATGGCCAGGGAAACTATGTTGGCATATGACAAGCTAATTGTGCTTCAATACGTCCCCTTCTAGAAAGATGCTGGAACTGCCAACATAACCAGTACGGGCAGGTCCTAGCAGTACTAAAAATAAGCTTTTGTCAAAACTAGGCTGCCTCTGGCTAAGGAAACCGTTTGCATCTTTCTAGCCAGAGTCTGCCACCAAGTGTTGCAAACACAGGTGCTCAGGCCATGCAGGGGGGCTTCTGTTGTTAGAGATCTGCCCATCCCCAAGACTCAATTAGTGCAAACCCAGCAAATAGAGTAACCAGTTTCCAGCACAGGTCTGTCAAGATGCACTTCAACAAACACCACACACCTCTGGGAAAGAAGGAGTAATTCTGGAGCAGCTTGTATAGTCACCCATTGGGTATCAAAGACCACATAATGTGCAATGAGGCATGCCATCCCTTGCCTCACCACAACTCCCATCTTGAAATCCTTGGTTCCCAAGTCACCCTCAAATGGCTGGACAGCACCTACTAACCAGATGTATGCTGCAATGCACACTATAGGTTGGAGGCTTTCAAAGCAGATGAAGTCAAGATACAGATTTAAACTCAAAAAACAAACAGGAAAGGAAGGCAGTTCAATATCTACTTGGGGGATGGGGCAGGTTGGTGTTGTCTCAGCTCAGTGCACTTTCGCAGGTGCTTGGAGAAGACTCCAAGCTCAAGTTGGTATTTGTATTGGCATACATAAAATCGCTGGCAACAGTGCATAGAAAGGAGCACTGATATTCAGGCAAACAAAGCATGAAAGGATGCAAAGCAGAGCTTAGTAGAGTTTACTGTAGCTTTGAGGTTACAGTACTAGGAAGAAGCCAGTCAGCCTATTTTCCAAACCCATAAAATGCTCTCATATATGCTGCTTTCTCCGGTGCTCCATGAACACCCTCTC